CATTTAAGCACTGAAGTAGAATGGTGGGGAAAAAAAAGAAATAACTGCTTTTATGTAATTTACAGATTGGAGTAAAGAAACATATTCATGTTATTATAATGAAGTGTGGTCAGGATCTGAAAGGGAAGCTCCGGGGAAGATAGGAGTCACCAGCTGAAAAGATCTAACCTATTTTCCATTCTGCAAGTGGGCGGCAAATGCTAACCCTTCATGACTCAGCACTCACCCCACGCCCTCAGAATTAACTGCACCTTTGTGCTTTTATGTATTTAGTAATGTTAAAGAGCATTTACCCCCAGTGCTAGGCTTTGAGTTAAGCACTTTAGATGCAGTGCATATCATTGAACATTTACAACGATCCCATTAAGTAAATTATTTCCCATTTATAGACAAAGAAACTGAAACTCAGAGACTCATGTGAGCAGACCTTTGCACCAATACTTCCCTCTTCCTAGAATCCTCTTCTTCCAGATGGTCACCTGGCTGCCTCCTTCCCTAGGTCTCGGTTCAAAACCTACCTCCTCCAAGAAGGTTCCCTTAACTACTCATTCTTAAAGAGTCACTCTTACACATTACTCTACGTTTTTCATAGCCTCTACCAATCTCTGGTAGTATGTTTATTTATTTGTATACATGCTTATTGTCTGTTTTCCTCCATTAGAATGTGTAAGTTCTATGACAGCAAGAAAGGTTGCCTCCTCTACATCGGGCCACTCTGTATCCTTGATATTTAGCAGGATACCTGGTACATAGTCAGCCTCCAATTAATGTTTGCTGGATGAATGAATGAATATAACCAAAGTCATACAGCTAGTAAATGGCAGAGTTGAGATTTAAACCTAGATGTGTCTTTCTCCAAACTCCAGGATTTAATTCTTTTTATACATCCCGCTCTCTCTGCTTCGTGGTTCTGAACGCAATGCGACCACATCCTAGACAACTTTGCATCTCTGGTACCTTTCTACTGGGACACTGCCTTGCCCCCCAGACACTCTGCCCATGTTTGCTGAGATGACTGAGTTTCCATGACAACGCCAGAGGAGGAAGAAGGGCTCTGAAGCCCTATAAGATTTTCTTTCCTCTTCGTTGAAGTTGGCATCACAGACTAAGAAAGTTTCCTCCTCAGCCTGACTCCGGCCCAATGTGTCATTTGCAGCCTTGGGAGGAGGCATGTCCCAGTGCCAAGCAGTCTGGCTCCCCATGAAGTACAGCTTTCAGGTGAGTGACCCACATTCAGGGGCAAAGATTTCAACCTAGGCTCCATTTGAGGAGTATGACCAAGTCCCCAAGTTTCTTAGAAGACTCTGGTCCTGCTCGCTGAGAAACTTGCTTGGGTCCTGGTACCATGGGCAGGATTCTTCTCCACCATGAGAGATGTGGGCATTTCAGTGGGTGGCCAACCCACTCTCACATGGGGAAGGGATATAGCATGGCAAAGAGGTTTCCTGCCCTGAGCCCGAATCAACTTTTCCCATTTTCCCTTAGCTTAGAAATTGATGGAATCTTTTGAAGTTCCCCATTGAAACCCCTTTATTGGTGCCTGTGGAGAGAAAGGGAGTAGTGAAGCCTTTCTCTGGGGCTTGCAAAAAATTCACTCTCTTGTCCTCAGAAAACCCAGAGGAGTAAAGAAGTCAAAGTTGGCTCCTGTCTGTGCACAGAGCTGGGCTGGCTACTCTGACACCAAGGGTGCTCCTGGTACCACAGGGAAGGTATGCTCTAGATCTCCTCCATGGGGACTGGCCCCAGCCGCGAGAACTGTCTTTCCTTCCCGGTGCTTGCAGTTTTGTGCAGGGATTTGGAAAAGGCAGTCCACTATCCTGGATTGACAGAGAAGACAGCTGTCTATATGGTATGCTTTGACAGTAGCTAGACATGACTTCCTCCTTCAAAATAGCTCCCTATTTGCCTGGAACTTCCTCTATTAACATCATCCCTTTGAGTCTCAGAGTTGCCAACAAAATGCAAACTCCCCTAGAAAGGCTAATAATCTGCTAGACAGGGGTTGCCAAACTTTCTGCCAAGGGCCTGATAGTAGACGCTTGAGGCCACGTGGACCATACAGTTTCTGTTGCAACTATTCACCTCGGCAGATACAGCCCCAAAGCAGCCACAAACAGTGTGTTAGCAAATGGGCATGGCTATGTCCCAGGAAACTTTATTTACAAAACCCGCCGCAGGCTGGATTTGGCCCATGGGCTGTAATTTGCCAACCCAGCACGAGGCTGTAAGTCAGTGACATTTCCTTACCCTCTCTCTGTCCCCAGTGCCTCTCACATGAGGCACACAGTGAAGAGATTCAAAATGCTGTTTGTGGAAGTACTTATCAGCTGACAACAGTTCAAGAGAAGCTGTTTGATAGCCAACTTTGCCAGAAGGAGCCTCAGTATGGGGGAGGGAGGGTCATATTCAGAGGCTAAGGATGGAAATCAAATTTGCCAACTTAACAATTTTAACCAAACACATTCCATTAGTCATACATCTCAAAATCCCACAACTGGGCTGAGCTAGCCGTATGCCCCATCTGGGGACCAGCAGAAAGTGAAGGCTGGAACCAGTGACAAACAAGAGTCCCTGAGCACAGTTACTCTCTTCAGTTTTGGCTCTGCTGAAATGAGCCTGCACTCAGGAATGATGTTTGCTCTTGTCATTCCAGAGAATGAGCCAGATTCCTACTGTTCTGGCTCAGATAAACCACTGAAGCCCTTTGGTAAGGGGTTAGCTGTTCTTGCAACAGCTAATTCTGCAATCCAGTGTCCCACTTACCTTCTTTTCTCCCTCACTGCAGTCACATCACTGTGGCAATCATGGAATCCAAGACATGCCCGTTGATCTCTTCCAAGATGGTGGAAGTCATGACGGTGAATCCCAGCACCGATTTTAGAAAATAATAACTGTCACCTTAACCCCAGCTCTTTTCTGGACTAGCATCTTGGTTTAGTAGAGGGAAGAGCATGAAGGCCTAGAGTGTGTGCACTCATTGCAACTCCAGACATTTGAAGACCTTGCATCAGCCAGGGTAGGTAAGTTTAGGCTGCAATAACAAACAACCTCAAAATTTCAGTTTCTTAACACAACCCACATTTATTTCTTGCCGATGTTACATTTCTAACAAGGTTTTTCAGGCAGGCTGTATGCATTGTAGTCATTCAGGGATGAAGATAATGCTGGCTCAACCATGACATGTATTATGTTTCATCAGGTGAAAGGGGCACGATGCATCACGCCCTGGTCCTTAAACTCTCTGCCTGGAAGTTTTATATCTGCACACATTTCATTGACCAAAACAGTCCTATGCCACATGGAACTTCAAAGAGAGTGGGCAAGTGGAATCCTACCATGTGCCTGAAAGGATGACATAATTGTGAGCAAGACTAATGACTATTCTAGGACCTGAAAAAAGGGTTAGGGGAATCTGCTCCCATGAGGAGTCAAATATCCCCATGGGAAAGACACATAACTAGAAGCTGAGCACTGATATGGAGGGGGAAATTCTGAAGGCCCAAGGAATAGATGTCAATCTGATATTTTAGATGTGTAGTAGATGAGAAGAGCACTCACCAAGTAAAGGTGATTGTTGAGGGCCAGGGTGAGGGGGGCTACGAGCTGGAACAGGTGTGGAGGACCACTGAGTGCTCCACAATGGGAGAAATAGTCAGACTGCCTTCTTCCAGGAAGATGTACCTTTTTAATAAGTCTGAGATAAATATAATATAATTATCACTAGATTCTGTATAAGATCAAGGGTTAAGCACAGAAGTGCTTCTAAGAGGGGATAAGACCACTGACATGGGAAAGTATGAGGTACTCTGATGGAGCAGACAATGGAGAGATGAGGAAGAAGCTGGGGTGTCTGCTCTATCCTGACCTGGAAGTAATGTCCCCCATGTACCACAGTGGCACCAGTGCCCAAGACAAAAACAAACAAAGCGAACAAAAATAGGTCTCAGTGCATAGCTCATACAGTTGTGCAGGTTGGGCAGTATGCAACTTGAGGGAGTGCCCGTCACATGGTGATTTATGTGAAGGGAGCCCATGGGAGCTGGCAGTGCACAACTTGAAGAATTCTGGGTGGTAGCCCTGCCTCCAGGCCCTGTGCAAGGCAAGATCTCAGACTTATGCTTGTCATTTCACCCGGCTCCTGCCCTCATTAGTGTGGTTTCCTGTTTCTGGCATGGCCTTCACCCACTGAATCTGACAACAGACCTAGGTTTTCTGGTTTCAACATTTGGTGCTTACCAGCGTACAGCTTACATAGTCCCCAGAAGTGAGGTCACAGAGGGTGAATTCTCAGCCATGCAAGGTACACAACCCTAGAGAGGACAGGGAGAGGAAGACTACACACCCCACAGAACACTCCAGACCAGAAAGAGGGATTAGGATGAGACTGGGATTCCCGTGAGCAGAGGAATCAGGGAATTGCCCTTTTGTTCCAGTTACTCTGATCCTTTCCCATCAGTTCACTAAAGCTGGCCTGACCTGGAAGAACACCCGTAACAGTGGTACACTCAGTGCCTAATCCCAATTCTTGGTATAAAATGGTCCTCAGTACCTTTTTGTTGAAAAAATTTCATGATTATGTATATTTAAAAAATAGTTCAACTTTCTTCTTTCCATACTCAAGAAGGGTGTTGAGATTTTGACTACAAAACGAGCTACTGAAATGTGAAAAAGTCAAATCAACCAAAGCGGAGGGAGAGGAGAAGCGTCTTTGTTCTGCAGGAAACCAAGTGACCATCTGGAACTGGATTGGTGCTTGGGGACTGTGTCTTATAGATCTACCTTCCCTTAGGAATTCGTCCTTGTCATTTCAGCTTGAAAATGTCCAGTGGTGGGGTGAGCTTACAGCTCTTTAAATGCCTGTGAAAATACTAGTCAGGGTTACTATTGGATCTGATATTGGTATCACTAATCTCAGAAGGTACCATCATCTTGAAAACTAACATTAAACAGAAACAATCCTGCCATAACAATGTTAAACAAATAGAAGGAAAATTGCTTACTTTCTTGGTCCTTTTGAGTAAAAGCAATGTATTTACACTGCATACTTCCTCCTCAGAGTAAACATAACTGTAAATCATAATTGAATGTGTATAGGTGTGGAATATCCATTCTTCATGAAATCATTCTGCTTAGGAAAATAAATACTGAGACTGAGGTCAAGCTGTTTTCGGGCAAACATTTGCCTCCAAATGCATGTGTGACCTCCACCCCATTGTCCTTTGTCATTTGCCTCCAGACAGAGACACAAGTTGAAATGTAGGCATAGTGAAAACCTAACTCACTGTCAGTAAGTCTCTTGGCCCATACACTATCTGTCCTCAGATCAACAGAAAACCTCACCTTGAAACAAAAAAGAAAATCTGGAAGAGGGGGAAGGGCAGGACAGAGGGCAGATCTAGATTTTTAGGACATTGCAGGCCAGTGGATTTTTCTCTGCCAAGATGAGTATTGGCTATTACAAAACCCATGCTTAACAAAGCTTTCCACCATCAAATTTGCATAATGCCTTATTCACATGCATAGAATTCCACATAGCATTGCTTCTGACCAAGGAACTCAATTTGCAGGGAAAAAAAATTGTGACATGAGTCCAGGAACCAAAGGTGGAGGTGGGAGTGGCTTCTCTCACTATGACACCTAATATCCACTCACAGAACATTTGCTCTCTGACCCTGTAACTTTGGGCTCTTCTGGTTCCGAGGCTGGATTTCTTAATGGAGAAACACTTCCACCAGTTGACACAAACACTGCTCCACTGGTTTGGAAGTTGAGAAGGCCAGTCTGCCTTGTAGAGCTCCTAACCCTGCTGGTGGAGGGGGGGGGGTTACTGTACTGGTTGATCCCCATTACTAAGGGATGTCAGATTTCTATTACACAAGAAGTCTTTCTGAAACCCTAGGGATTCTCTACGGTATTTCTTATTACCTCTATGCTCCATAGTAAAAGGTAATGGAAATTGGTAGCATCTATAGCCAAGGCAAAAAGTTATTATTTTATATGGAATTTCAAATACCTTGAGATAGTATATTTAGTAGCTGAGTAGCCAAGGCGGTGAACTGTGCTCAGAAGCTACCTTTCTACGTTCCTCGCAGTGATGTGGGGGCTATAGTATAGCCCTTTGGACTGTTGGCTCACCGTTATGTCCTGCCAATAGGGGGCACTAGAGGAATGTCAGAAGGCTAGAGCCCGGATGGGGTGGGGACTTATCGCTCCTAGGAACATTGCCTCATAAAGACCCTTCACCCTGGCATTGACTTTCATTATTGCCAAGAGCAGCCTCATTGCACCTCTCAGAGGTATCAACACAAAATCCCTTCCCCGGAGTGTCTAGGTTTTAATAAGACCACCTGCTTCCCTTTGCTTCCTCATCCCTGAGCAGTTGCTACTTCCAGCGGTAATTACGTTGATGACCTCGATGATCGCTTTTTGTTCCTTCAGCCCTCTGAACACCTGTGCGATCGGTTCTCCATATTAAACTCCCTCTGTTGAAATATCAAATGTGGGTTTAAAGAAATTTTCTTATTGAAGTAGAATTGACACACAATGTTATATTCATTTCAGGTGTATGACATAGTGATTCACAATTCTATACATTATGCTCTGCTCATCACAAGTGTAGCTACTGTTTGTCTCAAATGTGGTTTAGTTTTCCTGACTGGACCCTGATACCCAGCATTAGAAAGAAGCTTAAGATTATTTGACATTTCATTTACTATCAAATCTTCAGAAAGATTTATTAGGACACTTAGTTTCAAAAAATAAAAAAAAGGAGAGAGAGATTTTTAAGAGAATTTAATATGGAATTGCTACTTTTCAAATGTCAAAAACCATCCAAATAGGAACGGGAGATAGTCCTGTAAATGCTTGCTGGAAAACAAATTCATTTTATTAAAAGGTTTCCCTCTTTGTATTTGGAGGTTAAAGAAATGACAGAATTTATTATTCCACCAAACAAACCATTTTGCTTATTTTTGGTAAATTGCACTAAATGTGGTTTAATTACTGTGTCCAGAATAGCATTTCACATCTGTGGCCCCAAAAGCTGTTATTGCAGTGGATCTGTGGGAAAAAGAAATAGAGCCCTCTCGTGGCTAACTTAAATACTACAACCCCTTGTTGTTCAAGATAGACGGTATTAACCTCCTACCTAGGTTACGGGATCTTTGGTCGGAGATACCTTAGGGACCCTGCCTGGCATTGCCACAAAACAGACAAGAAGCATACTGTCCAGAGAAATAATGGCCAGCTTCTTGGCAGTATACAAATACAGGCATTTCTAATTTTATTGCGCTTTGCTTTATTTTGCCTAACAGACAATGTGTTTTTTACAAATTGAAGGTTTATGGCAGCCCTGCACCGAGCAAGTCTATTGGCACCATTTTTCCAACAGCAGTTGCTCACTTCATGTCCCTGTATCATATTTCAGTAATTCTCACAATATCTCAAACTTTTTCATTATTATTATATTTGCTACAGTGATCTGTGGTCCGTGAATACAACCCACTGAAAGCTCAGATGATGATTAGCACTTTTTAGCAGTAAAGTATTTTTAAATTTTTTAATAAGGTAATTTTTAACTATGTACTTTTTTTACACATTATGTTACTACTGCACACTTAATATAGTGCAGGATAGTGTAAACATAACTTTCATATACACTGGGAAACCAAAAAACTCATTTGACTTACTTTATTGTGATACTCGCTTATCGTGGTGGTCTGGAACTGAACCTGTAATATCTCCAAAGTACACTTGTATAACATAAACATGCTTATAAACCATGTGAACAAGGTCATTATTAAATACCCAGCTTTTTAAGGAGTTTGTAGAGGGAGTGAGAACGGAAGTGAGCCTGTGTAGCATTATCAGTTGAAAGAGACACTTAGATCCCTTATGTCAGGGGTCTTAACGCAAACCACAGTCATTTCTTTCTGAATTGTCTACACACACAGATAAGGTCACTGGGCGTCACAATGAGGGAAACTCAATGAATGCAGTAAGAGATTGATGTGCGGGTCGAATGTGTTGAAACATGCACATTATTATTTTTTGTGGGCAAAGACAAGATAGCCCCGTGAAGTGGAGTGTTAGAGACCTCATAGGACAACCCAGAGAGGCTGCCCATGGAAGAGACGAAGCATTTAAGGATGGCATTGGGTTCAAATGCCATCTTAGCACATTCCTAGCTGTGTGACTTAGAGCATAGTTGGATAACAAAGTTATCCAACTAATCTATTTCTCAGCTTCCTTAACTGTAAAATGAATTTAATAACATCTATGTCAAGACAATGAATAGCATAGTGGTTGAGGCTTCCAATCCTAACCCTGCCACTTACTATGTGACCTTGGGCAAGTAACTTAACCTCGCCATGCCTAAACCATAAAATGGGAGAAAATACATTGACCTTGCGTGGTTGTTTTGAAGAGTAAATGATTCAATATACATAAAACACTTAGAACAGGAGTCTTGGATGAGTTTGCCTTGCACATGGTAAACACACAGTAAATGTTAGCTTTATTATTGGCTGTAAATCACCAGGGATGGTTTACTTGCGGTCTTTTCCTACCTGCTTCTTTTTCTATTAAGTAGAGTCATGTGAAATTGCCATTTTGTAGGTCAAAAATTCTTGAATGCAGCAATTTCTTGGTTTAATCTAATACAGACTGATGTTTGTCTCCACATCACATTAAGGGTTATCAGCAAGAGCCTAAGGTCGAGGAATAAAATAGAACTTTCCATCCACATTTATGTCACCGAGCCCAGATCCCCTTTGCCGCCTGCGATGACAAATCCCTTGAGCAGTTTAAGTGAGACTTAGCCCCCTGGGAGTCCCCTTAGTCCCCCGTTAGCCCCTGGGAGGGATGGGAAAGCAATGACAACAGTGTGGGTACCAATTAGATCCTAGTCAGGAAAACAGAACCCATTCCAGGTAGTTCCACAGAGGGAATTTAATATCAAGAACTAGTTATTACAAAGGCATTGGAAAAGTCAAAAAGCCATATGGGGGCATTGAAGAAACCCAGAGATTAGCAATAGCAGAGAGTATCTACACCGTGAGTGTTGGAGGGAACCATTGCCAGGGCCAGGGTCCCCAGCAGGAGAAGGAACCGTGTGGGGCTGCCTGGCCACTCCCAGAGCTGCCCCCACCCAAAGCAGACAGGTAGAGGGGAAATCTCTCCTCCCTCTGCTCCCCAATCTGGCAGCCCCTCCCTTTGGCCGAACCTAACCGTATTCCTGTTGGCGAAGCAGTCTGGGGCATGTAGTTCACAGGGACTAGCCCCTTGACTACAGGGCAGACAGGAAAGAAGAGAAATAGATTTGAAAGCAGAGAGACAAACACCTGCGTCGAGAAGCAGGAGCTGGGAGGGCAAAGACGGGCAAAGAATGGGAGTTGGCGGGGCAGGACGTGAAATCCCGCGACCGCCATCTTCCCCCCAGCCGCAGAGCCTCCGGAACCTAATGGCGGTGGGTCCCTGGCGCTTCGCTGCTCCAGCCAGGTAATTCCGAATAAAGCCGTGGGAGCCACAGGAATCTGTCTCTGGTGACGTCATAACATGGAGAAGGGCGCAGGCAACTCAGGTGGGTAGTTGTGGAACCTCTGGGGGACTGAGGATCTTCCAGGAAGGGGGCCTGCGCTGCACATTCTTGGCCTCAGCCCTTAGTTTTGGCGCCAAGCCCAGCAGCAGTCAGGAAGCCGGACTTCGGGAAAAGACTCCTCATCTCGGAAGTTATCTCCCGCAAGACTACGGAAACAAGGCAACAGAATGCAGTTTGGGAGCCTGGATAGAATCCTGGAGCAGAAAGGGGCATTCCTGGAGAAAATGGGTGAAGTCCTAATTTAGTCAGTAGGATTGTACCAATGTTAATTTCTTAGTTTTGACACACGCACTCCGGATGTTTGAAGTACGGTAGAGGAAGCTGGCTGAGGGTATATGGGAACACTCTGTATTATTTTCTCTTCTATAAATTTAAATTTATTTCAAAAAAATTGTTTGAAGTTACCTCCTCTGGAATGGTTTCTTCCATTAGCTTCGGCGGGCAGCTCCAGGAGAGTTGACAGGCTACTTCCAGCTCAGTGAGGCATCACCAGGGGAAGCGGACGCCTCCCCCAACCCCCAAAACGGCAGTGATCACATCTAGGAGAATGACGGAAAGGCCACCATCTGGGAAACATTTCTGTGGACATTTCATTACTGGTACAAAATATGAATTCATTAAACAGTAGCCTACTTAACGGAGAAAATGATGAACACTTAAACGTTTTTTGCACAGCCATGCCGTTACTCTTGTCAGTGGGAGTTCTGTTATGCCCCTTTGGCTAAAGCAATGAGCCGGCTTACGTTCAAATGTAATGGACAGAGTTTATGCTCTCCGGAAGTTCTTAACTCGAGACCAGTCAGGGTACTGGTCACAGATACTCAGAGTTTGTACATAAGCACATTTTAAAGTTGCCTTAAATCATTTTCAGAAAAAGCAGAGTACAACTATCTACATGCATGTATAGACACACATAGGACCAGTTGAGGGAGGAATCTAACTGTTAGTATCTAAGTGAGAAGTGAGGTTTCTCCCTGTTAACTGCTCTCATTGTCCTCTGTCAAGGTCCCACTTCCCTCTGGGTGGTGGTTCCCTTTAAAGCATCCCAATCCAATTCTATAAACCTTTTTATTTCTGGTAATTAAAACGGTGTCATTCTGGCCACCAAGTCTCAATCCTGTGCATTTTAAATCTGCAATATTGTATCGAATGGAAATCTGCCCCAGCCCCCCCACATAGCTGGTGAGGCTAGTCTTCCTCCCACTGCTCTCTTCCTCAGGGTTGCTCCTCTGGTGCTGGGCTGTGGGTCTGGGGGAGTCTCCCTTTGGGACTGGTTGTGATAAAGTATATTTGCCCCTTTCTGTAAACTTATGGCCACTGTCTAAGCTTCTAAGCTATAAACTGCTCTGTGGTTACAGATGGAGACTGCAGTAGTCCCTAATACAGAGACATTTGACTCCACTGACTTCTGCGCAAATGCTGGCCCACCATCTGCATTCCTTTGACAGGACCAGCCTCTTTGGTGTTTGCTCTGGCAGTTCCTGGCAAGCCTGTCTTCCCCAAGCTCACATACTATCTGCAGCCCTAATCTAGGGCACAAACTCAGTACATCTTCTGGGACTCTCAGAGACCAGCATCCAGGAGGGTGGTCTTTGACCCTTCTTCTCCATCTGGGTGTGCCTTGCTCAGGTCAGTTGAGGTACGTCGGGAATCTGGATGGCTGCTAACCAGGGCAAGGAATGTCATCCATCCTTACAGAACCTGCAATGCTGTATGTAATTTGGGGGGTTGCCTTGTCTGATCTTTAGGGGTGGGAATCATTCATGCTTACTGTCTTACGCCCCAGAAGGAGACAGAGGTGAGGAAATGGCCACTCTTTATTGTACTCCCTAAAGGGTGGCCTTGACCTCTACCTTACACGCCTTGACAGTATAGGACCTGACTCTGCTCAGCATTGATTACCCCTGGAACTGGAGAGTCTTACAACAAAAATTCTCTCTCATTTGAACCTGGCACTAGAAAATACAGAGGCTTCTCCCACCAGGAGACTATCTTCCACTGTGCATAACCTCCAGAGCAGGAAAAGATCTCAATTAGGACCTCGCTCCAGACTCCTAGGCATGCATAGGTAATTATATTCTTAAATGAAACAGCTGACCCCTCCATAAGAGTGACCTCCGTAGCTCCAAGGATATACTCTTTGAGATGCAGTGTGGATGCTATAGATCTGTCCCATCTTGACATTCCTTTGAATGCCATGTATTCTTTTTTTTACTCTTTTAAGACAATAGTGGCAGGGGACTTGAAATGTAAAAATTACCAGTGGTTTCAAAGCTCCAAGCATCTAAAATCCAGAGGATGGGAGAGGTTGCCTCCCTGTGGACCACTCTTTGAGGGAGGGCTGTCCGTGTCAAAGGACAAAGCACTTGGCTAAACTCATCCCAACCACAGCTTTGCACTGGCTGTCTGGAGTGTCCCCAGAGAACTTCCCTTACGTCTCTCTATTCAAGGGCCACTTGTATTGATGACTTAACGGTTAACAGCTCTCTGCCTCTCACTTATGTTCATAGACTATGTTGAAAGGTCATTACTCCCTGCACTTCATTCCCTTTGCATTGCTCTTTTTAGGGATTTAACTAAAATGGAGGCTGAGAGTTGGAGAGATTCTCTTGAATTCCATCTCAGTGTAATACATGTTCACAACACCAAACATGTTGTTCTTCTAAACATTTGCTGATGGCCCACTAAATGCCAGGCATAAAATAAGCACTGGGAGATAAAGAATAGGCATGGTCCCTGCCTTTCAGGAGCTCACAGGCTGGCAGGGGAGACAGAAAATAGTGAATGCCTGGTGTCCCTTGGGAAGGACTCACCTGTCATTCTTGGGTGCCAACAGAAGGCTCTAGAAAGGAAGTGACATGTGACGTGGGTCTTGAAGAATAAGAAGCCAAGGGTGGAGATAGAGAGGGGCTTTGCTTGAGGCAAATAGACTAGCTAGACAAAGGCATGGAGAGGTGAGAGCCCGTGGCATGGGCAGCCATGGTGCTGTCTGGCAGAGCAAGAGCCAGGAGTGTAGGCCTTTAGAAGCCCTTTCTCTACTAGCCACATGTCAGCAGATCCTGAGGGATAAACTGAGCATCTCATGTCCAGGCCATAGGTGGGCTGGCTACACACTGGAGGTTTGGGGTACAGAATTGCCCACGGCAGGTCTTTACTGGCCTTCACATTTGTATTAAGCACTTACTCATATGGCAGACAGTCTGCTAAGCATGTTATATGCAGTATACCTCACTTAATCCTTACAGCTACCCTGCAAGTCAGTACTGTGTGTATACACCACATCTGACAGATGCAAAAACAAGCTTCATAATTTAATTTATCAAATCATAGAGCAAATAAATAACAGATCCAGGTTTTGAGCTCGGGTGAATATGACTCCAAATCTCATATTCTTAACTACCTCTCCTCTGCAGGAGGAATTGTGAGACACAGCCTTCCACTGATGAATCCAAGTGTGTGGTTTTACTCAATGTTATAGCACAAATCATCTACAGGAGACCCCAGGACTCTTGCTTATCAGGATCAGGTAATTTAACCCAATATCACACATGGGATTAATTAACTTAAGCTTAGCTCAGGAGCATCTCTCTTAAGAAACAAGAGGATTAAATTTTTTAATTTGGGAGAATGATTTAGGAACTCATCCCAGATCAGCAGCAGATCTCCAGGAAGGAAACCTGGGCATTCCTTAAAGATCTCCCCCCTGTTCCAGCGTCCCCATCTCTACCCTCTTCTTGTTCCGGGCTCTGGCCCCTGCTCAAATGAACAGATGCACATTTTAAAACGAGTCAGGGCTGATTAAAACCCTGGTGTAAGAGGGAAAGTCATGTTTCACCTTGTAACATTAAGACCAAGGAAGGAAGCTGATTTTGAAAGGCAGATGTATGCTGTCATCAGAACTTCATTCACCTTTGAATTCAAGGTTTTGCCCTCAAATCAGGATTTTTATCATCCTACCAGATCTTACAGAGGGTTGTTAGTTTTGTTAAATTCAGCCATTTGAGCACAGAAGAAACTGAGAGTTTCAAGGAAAAAGATTAGGCTCACCCTTTCATTTTATTTAGAAAACCTTCTTCATTCATTCATTCATTTAATTTGACAAATATTGATCGAGCACCCCCATGTGCTGGTGTCAGGGTATACTACAGACACTGTGAGACCCAATGCTTGTCCTAGAGGAACTTGCACTCCACTGGATGAGAAACAAGTAGCCCATTATGAACCCAAATGACAAGAGTTGTGATATGTATGCGTAGTCCTAAAAAGGCAAAGATGATGCAACCACCCAGCAGAGAATAGGATTGGAGGAAAGGTTGTGGAAGACTTATTAGAAATGGTGAAATAAATGAGTCCTGAAGGATCAGCCATCAGGAGCATTTTACCCATCTTTTGACATCAGTCCTCAATTGAAACCAATAAAAGCAAATCATATGCTAATGCACCCACCTGGACAATTTAAGCATACACAATATGGGTAACTAAAATCCCAGGTCATGAGCAAATTCAATTTCAAGGCAAAGATCAAAAGGAACAATCAACACAGCAGAACACACAAAACACTCTGTTGTTAGCAGATGAGCAAAACTTAAAATTGGTGGTCTCTTCTGAAAGAAACAAGACGAAACCAGAGAGGGAGACAAACCATAAGAGACTCTTAATCTCAGGAAACAAAGTGAAGATTGCTGGAGCAGAGGGGGGTGGGAGGGATGGGGTGGCTGGGTGATGGACATTGGGGAGCATATGTGCTATGGTGAGCGCTGTGTATTGTATAAGACTGATGAATCACAGACCTGTACCCCTGAAACAAATAATACATTATATGTTAATAATAAAATTAAAAAAAAAAAATTAGTGGTCTCTTCTGGCAGAGCGG